CATTATAGAACACTATTTGAGCAAATAAAATTGACTATAAACGCGACTGTATAGCTTAAGCAAATGAAATTGTTGAAACGAAAATATTCTTTGTTGTATTGCATTTCTTCGTCAGCAACACAATGGATACCCCCCAAGAGGATTGACTTGTCCTTTTATATATTTATAATGAGAATAAATTTCCAACCTACACATAACTGTGTTAAATTGTGGTGTGTGCTACTGATGTCAACAGACATAAGTAGTATGTGTCATGAATCGAAATTAAAGTGTCTGATGATAGAAGAAGAAGAAGAAGAAAAGTTTGAAGAGAAGAGAACGAAAACAGAAAATGATTGTTACGGAAATGAACTAACAATCAAGTCTAAGACAATTGATTGACATTTTACGAATAAATTATTTACTGTATGGTTCTCAGATTTTAATAAAACGTTCTGTAATTTTTCATATCCAAATGCATTCGATTGTCCACACTTGTGTTCTCAATCACTGCAAGATGATCATCTTTTTTGTTTGAGTTTCTAAGTAGTTCTTTTGTCTATTCTCGATATTTTATATTAGTACTAGTTTTATAGTTAGAAATAAAGCAATAATCTATGTATTGTTTTGTCAAAACCAAGTAACTAGTCGATGATATTAGAATGAAACTAGTCAGAAGATACATGTACATATATTCATAATAGTATATTGACTTATTAAACTTACCATTATTTTTCACTTGGATACTTTATGAGATCTACGTTTATTTAAGATAGTTTTTGATTACAAAGTGATATCAATTGATAAACTGGTCTTGTGAAATGTTTCAGCTGGTCGTAGTTTATAATAAAGTCAATTTTAATATTATTACTTTTCCAATTTTCTTCTATTTACTGAAGTAATTATACAAATTACACAATACAGAAATTTAAAACACAACAATACGTTAAGAAAACTAGGAAAAATTGATAAATACTTAAATCATGATCAGAATGGGGAGGGGGTTGTGGACGAAACGACCGTCTAGTTCTTCCAAGTTTTCAGTGGTGACCTAGCTTAAATCAACTCATGAATTTAATTGAAATCATGATTTATTATTGATGAAATTTTACTATATAATCTCATATCTACTTTATATTGTAAAATAAATAATTTTTACTTAGCTTATTTAAATCAACACATAAATACACTAATTAAATTATAATATATAAATCAGTATACCAGTAAAATTTATACGATAAATTACTCAGTATGGTTTTTTAGAAAGAAAATAATCAAGTTTTACATGCTGGATTCTGGCTCAATGGTTTAAAGGCAAAGCACTCACGCGCGAGACTGATAGGTCTTGGGTTCAATGTGAATGTGCACTGCTGGGGAGTCCTATACTAAGACGAGACGGCCGTCCGATGCTTCCAGATTTTTATTGGTGGTCTAGTTTCAATTGACTCATGATTTCAACAATGAAGTTACTAAAATCTCCACAAAACCCCTTCTGATAAAGTATATATTAAGATTATCTATTAAATAGTCTAATTAACAAATCATTGACTCAAACTACTGGTGATTGAAAGGAAGTTATTTTTTTATCAAATACTGTAAAAGACTAAATTATTCTATATATTTTTTATTCAGAGATCAAATGCATTCAACAGAATGTTTCTAAGGTGAAGAGTAAAAGTGATTGAGATATGCGTCTCTGAAATTTTTTTAATACTCTAATTGACAACCTGCTTTTAAGTGGGTTAACCCGATTCCGCATTTTGTAGATAGAGATAAGATGTAGTGAGGTAATCATCGTGATGACCTACTGACAGCTAAGTCTATTTTTACTATTTCATATATGGGAAGGGTAAATCTGGTTAATCACTAATCTCAAAAAGAATAAACCTTAAAAATAGTTATACAGATGTCACTGAATTGAAGCTACATATCATTTTTGAATAATTTATCATTTGTCTAGTTTAAATTCAACTATTGTACTTTGAGTCAAACTGTATGAAAGCTAGTGGAGATCTTTGGATGTACTAACCTGACTAGCGTAAATAGGGTTAAAATATATAGTTTATTAACTAAATCCCGATCAGTTTACCTACTAAACTACTACTCCATATGTTTAGATTGAATTTATAGTGTAAAATGAAAAAAAGAGTAAGCGAAGTTAGCTAAATAAACATATAAAATTACGTATTAAATGTTTATATAATGATTAATAATATGTTTAGTATTGAAATAGTTCATAAGAAATAATATGAAAATGCGTTAAAGGAGAGGTTTTAACAAAGAAAAAAAACATGCAAAACATAACTAAATCAGACGAGACTATAATTTATGGACAAACCAATCAGGTATAAGATAACAGGTCTCGGATTTTGGTGTGATATTCACCCATTCATTTGGCTAAACAGAGTTTCGGCATTATATCTGATGTCGTTTCGTGATGAAAGCCCTAAATCTAATTCCTAACCGTAGCCATCAATTGCAAAACATAATTCTAATTCATCACGTTGGATTATAATCCTCATTTGGCCCTCGATATTGAATGGACACTCATGGTCATTTTGTCGTCGCTCAATGGTCGTCCATAAATTAACATCACACCAGGTTCTGTTATATGACAAATGTATGAAACGTAACTTTATTCTATTAGTTGTACAATTATCAGATTAACAGAATATTACTGATTACCATTATTATTAATCTGTATAAATTAGAACGAATAGTATTAAATAAGAACGTGAAATTCAGTCAAATCAAGGCCATTTAATCTGGTAAAACTTAAATCTTATGACTTTTATTAAAGCTGTGAAGAATGACCGGATGTAGATAAAGACTATGTTATGTGTACAAAAGTAATGTTTGACACCCTCATCATCAATCTTTTATATTCGTAAATGCAGTGAACAAATGAATGAAATGCATGTGTGGTGTGTGCTACTTATATCGACATTAGTATATGACATTAGTCAGGAACAGAATGTCTGGCAGCAGAGAGACAAGAGGATCGAACAGTAAAGAATGGAAACAGAATGCAATTAGTATGAAAATGCAAGAACCATGAAGTTTGAGTCATTTTAAGACAATCGATGAACATTTAGCAAATTAGGCATTTACTATATGATTGTTAGATTTTATTAACAAGTTCTGTAATTTCCTACCACATACATTCGATTGTCCGCCACTCGTGTTCTTGTTCACTAGACGTGTAGTTCGTTTACTCACTTTGCGATCAGCCAGTAAATCATTCATTTGAAACGAGTTCGATTTTTATTTAAGATGTCACAAATAAATAAAGGCCTACAGCTTGAGTTTAAGAAAAAAATAAAGTAATGTTTATATTGAACTTTACTATTCGATTAACACAATCATCAGATAGATTGAAACGAACAACAATTTCCCAGTACTTATGCAGGAAAATTAGACTCATGGGTAAGGTAACTCTCAGACGTTATGACCTGTCAAAAGTTCAGAAAACTAATTCACCATATCGCTCAGTTTTAAATGTGATCAGTTCACCAAACAACTCAGTTGATTAATGGCTAGTTGAACTTTTAAAGTCAATTTATATAGAAGTCTTACAGCATAATGTAAACGATAATTTTAATTTTATTGACAGTATTAAAAATTTACAGGTGAACAATTAATTAATGATATCACTTGATATATAATCTTTATACATATTTTCAATTTTTATTTCATTAATATATGAGAAAACGTAAGTCAAATGCTTAACCAACAGTGAAAGAACGCCCGTTCTGGATTCCATTGCTGGTCACTATCTATCTTTGTTTATAATGCGTGTCACTTAAGACAATATCAAAGCAATTCGAACAAGATACGGTCCTAAATATTAATAGGAATATTGAAACGAACAATACAAAATGAATCTCATTTAACTCGTTCTGATAATTATATAAATATAAATATTATCGGAAGGGGTTTGTGGAGATTTTATAAATTTCACAGGTTGAAATCATGATTTAATTGAAGCTAGACCACCATGGAAAACCTGGAAGAACTGGATGGCCGTTTCGTCCTAGTATGCGACTACTCAGCAGTGCGCATCCACGATCCCGCACCCCGCGTGCTTCGAACCCAGGACCAATCGATCTTGTGCCAAGCGCTTAACCGACTAGACCACTGAGCCGGCATACAACGGTGTTGATGTCGAACTTCAACCAATCGACGAAATTGCGCCACCGTACACCATTGTCATCAGTGAGCTGATATCTCACAACAGACCTGGTTGAACTCCACTGGTAATGGTTCCTTACTAGAACTCCAGGAGTATCTCTTCAAGTCAGTTACTAATGAGCAGATGATTATTATCACAAGGGGTTTTGTGGAGATTTTAGAAATTTTCACTGATTGAAATCATGGGTCAGTTGAAGCGGGATCGTGGATGCGCACTGCTGAGGAGCCCTATTTTAGGACGAAACGGCCGTCCAGTGCTTCCAAGTTTTCCATGGTGGTCTAGCTTCAATTGACTCATGATTTTAACCAGTGATTATTATATTGTTAAGTTAACTCATCACCATTTATATAATAATAATTTTCTATTTAATTATAAAATCTGCTATGTATTAACGTTTAACCCTGATAAAAAAACTAACTCAATTTCAATGTTTGATTATTTAATAGATAGTAAGTTGTTAAAAATAAGTAATACAACGTAATAATACTAACAAATAATAAATCAGTCAATGAATTATTTAAATGAAAATTTCAACGAAAACAAGTCTTCACATATAGATCATATTTACTTACTTACAGGCGTAAGTAAGTAAATAAGTACTTGTCAACATTAAGCTACATAGAATTAAATGTAGAAAATGTAGAACAAGAAACTATGATTACGAAAATTAATTGTGTACAATTTGCACAATATGTATTTTGTTTTAAAAATTAACAACTGCAGTGTTGATTCAAAAGAGAATCAGTATTTAAATAAAGATTAAATGTAATTCTGTTCTTCTTCTATTATTATTAATGTTTACCATTTATTATGTATAAAATAAACTTACTCTTTTGGCGGTGGTGGTTGTAAACCAAGCGCACAAATATATTCTTGAAGTGTAATCATATTATCACCGCTTAAATCGAATAAACGTAGAAATTCCTTCATAAAAAAGAGAAAAAAAAATAATGATGAAGGTGGTTAATTAAAAAATGATTAAATTTTATAACTTGAATTGAATTTTTAACTATAAAGTATCAAGCACTAAAATAGATCATCAAAAACATTGTATACAGATGTTTTGGAAAAAAAGTAAAAACAAATGGGTTTCTTTTTAAAAAAAGACGACAGTTTGTCACGTTGACAATAAGATTAGTTCATAGCATAACTTGTGAATCTTTTTTTGTGTAAATATAATTTTTATAAAGAAAGTTTTGATTTACGGTAAAAAGAACTTAAGAGTAAAACATTAATATCTGAAGAGGTTTTTGTGGATATTATAGTAATTTCAATAGTTGAGATCATGAATCATTTGAAGCTAGATCATCAAGAAAAACCCAAAAGCAATGGACGACTGTCTCCTCCGTCTTTGGGACTCCTCAGCAGTGCACCTCCACTATCCAGCCCCGGGAGATTCGAACCCAGGACCTATCAGTCTCGCGCGCGAACACTTAACCTCTATACTATTAAGCTGGCATCCAACTGTCGTAATGTATAACTTCAACTAATTGACGAAATCGAGGGACACATCCACTATTATCTTCAGTAAGTTAATATCTCGCAACATTAGTTATATTATAAATGATAATCCTAATAACATATTACAATGTTATGTTTTCACTGAAATAATAACGACAGAAATTAATATGAAAGCTTGATTAACTCAGAGTTTATAGTTATTATAATAAAATATTATATTTGTAACGTAAATTTAGTCAGAATTAATTAATAATGCAAAAATATTTAATTAAACAATAATCTTTAAGGTCTTTTCACAGATCACCGAGTTGTAAATTAATAAATATTTGCTTGAACTTTATTTAATCTATCGCTAGCTTTCGGTAATTGTTCTAAAGAGTTACTATATCTATTTGTTTATTTACTTCTTATAATTAAAACATCTATTTTGAAGTAACTTTCCTACAGTGAACATAAATGAAAATTTACTTCATAAAACATTCAAGAAATGTAAGGTGGTTATAGATAAATGAAAAAAACCGTGTATCCAAGTTTCTTGTTAGTTGATGTATATCAGCAGAGTGCACCTATAATCATAATGGAACTGATGCTTATTGAAGTACTCGAGGTCAGTGGCATTCTGAATAGCTCGTCAGCTTCCTCAAAATTGCATCCGACTATTCGCGCTAAAGTGCACGTGATCTTAAGTCACTTAGACTAATTTTTACATTGCAAAAAGATCTACAGAAACTTATCAGAACTAAAAACTTAACATAGATGAATACTTAATGATCAAACAGTTGTAAACGTATAAAACCAAACTCATTTACGTGTATTAAAACAGTACTTACGTCCTCGCCGAATTGTTCGTTTAACAAGGTGTTAATATATTTTTCGAATAACTACGACTTCTTTCATTTTTTCATTTTGTTAATAATTCGTATTCTATATTTCAGTGTTTTGTAATTTGTTTTAAGCCTATCAAACTAGGTTTCAAAGCCAAAACTCATTCAGACAAAAATTCCATCAGGTGTATCGCTTATAAGAAACGTGTTATAACTATGAAAACCGGTATTTAAAACGGCTACAAACCTGATATTTGATCGACTTAAAGAACAGGACTGTTACTGATGGAAGATGAATATTTCATCCACCATCCAAAACATGATAATCACTTACTAACAAAGAGTATATATTAGAGACATGTAATGATTAACCATTAGATTTCATGCCTAACTAAAAATCGCGGAAACACAACGATCCTTCAAAATAACATACACAGTAAAACAAAATTAACTCAAATAGTGCACAATTCAAAAACTTGTAGGTTAAATACATTTTAATAATTCATTAGGTTAAATGTGAACTACACATTCAAAAGCAACACATGAAATATATCGTTCTGTCATGATTTTAACATACTTTCCAAACTATTTTTTTTAAAATCAATAACTTGTTATCATTAGCCTCTGATAATTTTTCATTATAATTAATCAATTGTTATTGTCAAATTCTAGATTTTCTTTTTATATATCACATTAATAATAATTAGTCATATTGTGATCCATAAATTATTATCTTCTAATTATTTGTCTTTAACCTTTATATCAATATATGATCGGATCGTAATACTTAAAATTCCTTGAACATTTTTATTATGTAATCCCTCTCTTTTATCTAATAGCTAATGAACCATTGTAATATAATGACATACAGCATCAGTAAATGATGGCACTCAAAAAAGGAAATTTTTATTTCAGTTTTAAAGGATTTTACATAAACTAAGCCAAATATACTCAGTAATTCAGTTTATTGTTTTTATCTAGTTATATTTACTAATATCTGAAGTTTATCAAAGTATATTTTGTTTAACATGTAAATTCAAATGAACTAAATGTTATTCATTTTTGGTTCAGAATTCTCCGTTCATAATGTTTTTTTATTAGTAAAGGGTTGTTAAGTCTTTATTAAGCTTCTGAATCGATCAATGTTAAACTACCATAGAAAACCTGGAAGAACTGAACGACCGTTTCATCCTAGTATGCGACTATTAAACGGTGGATTTCTACGATCACACAGGTGGGAATCGAACCCAGGGTCTTTCGTCTCTCACAAACACTAAACATTTAGATCACTGAGCTGGAATCTACTTGTGATAATATCTGACTTCAACCAATCCACAATATTGGGCGTGTAAGTATTTTTGATATCATGCCATACATATCAACAATTGTCTACAGTTCGACAAAAGATAAACATGATTCATGAAGGTGAATAAAAAAAATGATTAGGACGATCAATTTTTGTCTACTGACACATCTATCTTTTGTTTCTTAAAATTTCATTCTCCAATTTTTAAAAATGCAATAGCTAATTTTTGTAACTATGATTTTCGCAGTTCATTAAAGGAATATACTAGCGGTAGTATTTTGAAAGATTATATATTGATATTTACGCATACAACAGCTGGAAATGTTAACCATAATCAAAGTTCCAGTATACGCAGTAATTCAAGATTACGTTATTTGTAGGCCAAAGTCATATGATAACGTGAAGTTAGAGCCTTCTGTCATTCACATCATAGAATCAATATACGTATGTTAGGAAGTAATTAGAAAAATAGTGTTTGGAGTCAGGCGTAGTCATACAAAAGTAACATAAAATAGTTAAGCGGTTGTTCATTCTAAAATGTTTAAAACAAATGATAGTTTTAAATAATTGTAGTAAACGTTAACGAGTTTGGTTTATGATTGTAGTTTATTGAATACTTTGATATAGCAATTAGATTAATATCAGAATAGAGGTTTGTGGAGATTGTGGTTGAATCCATGAGTCGATCTAAGCTAGGTCACCATGGAAAACCTGGAAGCACCGGGTATCTGTGCGGGATCGTGGATGCTGAGGAGTCTCGTAATAGGAAGAAACGGACTTCCAGTGCTTCCAGATTTTCAATGATGGCCTAGCTTAAATCGACTCATGAATTCAACTGTTAGATTAGATTATTAATAATAACCAATTATTAAGATAGTTTAATTAAGTTAATCAAAATCGGTGTAGCTGCACAATTGCATTTATTCTTAACGTGTACATTGATCTTTATTCTTTACCATGTTGTTTAAATATTCTTTATTTCAAATTTCTCCCAAGAGTTACTGATATTACTTCCTTTCACTACCAAATAGGAACTCATTACATTCGTGTTGAATATTATAAATTTGGTCATATACCTCTTCCTCTGATCCTTTGATTCTTATGCCTCTAATCCTAAGTCTTTTTCGTCAGTACGCCTTTTCGAGTTGTAAGTTTGATTATTCATGTTATAACTTCTTCTTATTCATGGAACCCGACAGATAAGATAGAAAGTTTTCGTGAACACGAAACCATACCTTAGGAAAACAAAAGTGAAATGACTTTACAAGTAAACTGAAACGTCTGTAAAATAAAAAAATAAATTATATGGTTCACATGAGTTAGAAGTTAGAAAGTTGCCACTGTTAATGAATTTCATATTCAAATGCAAATAAGCGACTATCAGACAGATCTGTTTAGTTATAGAATCATATGTGGTCATGATGGAAAATATGAATAACTGATGAGTTAATTATTTCAGAATTATTAATAAGCTACAATTATTATTAATTAGTTCTAATGAAAACTTACATCAACTTTCGATGGAGGTAGACCGGATCGCTGAACACAGAGTCGAATTTCAGACGGTGTTAAAACGCCATCACAATTTTTATCCATTTGATGGAATTTTTCAATCAATGCTCTTCTATCCATTGTGTTAAGTTTCAAGGCCATATATTCAAATTGTTTGTCTATATTAGAATCCACTTAAAGGTATCTGATAAAAGTATTTAAAAAAATATTCTAGTTCAAGTCAGCCAATTACTATAAAGGTGAAAGGAAACACAATTTAGTTCATTGTATTTTTTTCTTAAATACTCGTTCAATTAAAAAGTTAACGCTTACAATTTATGGCGTTGGTAACTCTTAAAAGTGTGATGTTTGTAATATGAACACCCAATCAAATAGTGAGAATGTAATATTTTTTTGATAAACAAAGATTTTTAAGCTTGTAAGGTGTTTTTATTTGTAATGACATGTTATAATTTATAGAAATATAATTGATTTCTCAATAGAAAAACTTGATTGATTTACAACGTATGTAAAACATACTATAAGTATGAACATTTCATAACCAATCAACAATGCTTTCGATAAGTTTCTATATTTACACAATCTATTGTTATCTCACTGTATTAGTTCGTTTCGAAATAAAGACAAAGTAATGAATTGATAAAAAAGTTTTACTGAAAAATAATTATCTTAAAACAGTATTTGTCTATCAAAATGTCTTATGTCGGAAGCTAGCTCTAGTCTGAAAGTAACTACTTTCTGATATACATGTTACATAGACTTTTCAAAAAAAGAAAATATAGATTACTTCAACAAGTGGTTCGGTTTGTACTCAAAAGTCAATGAAGACATTTGAGTATGTGATAAAACTGTTAACATATTGAAGTACTATGACTTCTTTAGTAAATAGGAAGCATATTTCTAATTGCCATCAACTAAATTATATTGATTATAGTACATTCAGTGATTACGAATGGTTAATGTGTGGAATGATGTCTAAGTATGCTTATTTCTTAAAGAATTTTTTATAAGGGGACGATTTGTTCATTGAGTGTCAATTGCTAGCACTACTCTTTTGAGTATATATATATATATATATATATATATATATATATATATATATATATATATATATCGGAACATATATATATTCCGATGGATTCATTTAACAAAATGATTAAAACTGTTTATTTGAAATATATATGCATAACCTTATTACATAATTTACGTTTGAGTAAAATTAAATCTTCGTTCGAATGACTAGCCTAAAATGTAAGATTTAACGGTAATAAATGAAGTAATTTCTATTGACGGATATTGTTAATTTTTTTTATCTACCAAACTTTAAATACCATATGATTGACAATAATATATTTTGAGTGAGAGGCAGTTTTACGATAAGGAGTGTAAGTAATATAAGCTAACAGTTAAGGTAATTTACATCATACGCAGAGTTCATATGACATTTAACAGCTGGACGTGTTAAAGTTTCTGCCAAAACTTAAGAAAAATTTGCGGAATATTCTAAAATTTATTTACAAATATCGAACCTTTGTTTTAAGTATCTATAAGTTAAGTTATACTCGGTGACAATATGGCTGAAATGTATGAGCAACAAATCTCTCTGGTAACCGGAATTGTGAAAACTGATACGTAATGAAGTTAGGCATCATGAATCCTAATTTGTATCGGTGATTCGAATGCGAAATCGTTTATCTCCACATATCTTTTGAAACGAACGTCTGCTATTTAAATTGTTTCACACTTTTCTTTTACCTTTTCCAAGGTATTATTCAGTAAGTAACCCAAACTCTCCACAAGACCATAAAATTTACAAACTCAGTGTAAACATTAGTCGATTAGTTAATTAATTAATTAGTATCGATGAAAATACTGATTTATCATTGTTATTCTGATATGACGGGATAAAAAATATGCAAAATTACATTACTAACTCATTGTGGTTCTTGCTCAATACTACTTTAATTTTTAGTTAGTGTGATAATTATTCAGTTTATTATTTTTTCGTTCTTAATGTGCTGTGTTATTCAGTATAACACTGATTTACGTCAATATGATATTCATTTCGGTTATGATATTCTTATATTAAATTTATAATGAATTATGTTCAGTATAACATGTAGCAAGAAATTTTGCTGTAATTTCATAAGTGTGACGTTTCCCTTAATAATAATCAAATGTGTGTACAAATCGATATATGTATATATATCAGTGAGAGCATTATCGACTGGGGTAGTCGTCATATTTTTGAGGTAATTTTTATTAACCATATACGACTGTATATTAAGAGTATTAGTCTACCTTATAACTGTAAGCTTTAAGAAATGTCTTTTAGTTATTTATAGTGTATTAGTTGTTCTTATCTATCTGTTTTAGCTTTTATTTGGAAATCATTTCAAGAGAAGTACTTTCGATGTTAGCAGAGTAATCAAGTTGGAGATACCCACCTACGCACTTAAGTACACAGATTTTCACTATTATGATGACTAAAATTAAATATTGCTTGCATACTAAGGCCATTGAGTTTTAACCACTCATTTGAGTTTTTAACACTTCAAGGTCATTCTAAGAATCACATGATTGGTGGCTTTTTAGACAGCTTACTAAACAAACAACTGCGCTTGTTTCTAAGATAGAAATCTGAGACTCTATTTTCAGTAATTTGTATTGATAAAAAGTGATTAGTTGTGATCAAAAAGGGTTTTGAAATCACGGTTATTTTTTTACAATTTCTTGGTAAGTTGATTATTAACTCATCTACATTTTCATCAGTAAGTGTAGGCAACATATCATTTTCATGACATGAATATTGTCATAAGATTTTCATTCAAATAGGTTCCTTAAACTATCAAATGTTTATGCATAGTTTGTGATTTTAGTGAACTGGTCCTAGCAGGGTTCCCTTGTTTATGGTTATGAAACATTTTTTTCATTTAATTTGTTAATGAACGTACCATATGGGAAAACTGAGTAATTGGTTTTAATTTACATCCTATGCTCTAATCATACCAAATATCAAAATAGTCACAAACCAATAAGAGTATTTATTTTCGACCATCTTATCATCATAACTTTAAACTAATAAAATCTATGTATCCTACATTTCACGAAATCATTGGAACATATTTAAAAGTTGCTTAAACTAAACCTCATACCTTATCATTAAAATGGAGTTGAATGACTTAAACTTTTGTGGTCTAACCTAACATCATTAACAGATATGTGATCTTTTAAAGTTGATAATATTTTCATTGTTAATCTGATAACTGAGCATACATAACAGTTTTTAAGTAATCTAGAGTTATTTGGGGGATGTTGTTCCTCAGACTTCCAGAAGTAATTTTGTTGTTTGTCAAATCTAGCCAATGCATCATCTTTGGTTATAACTTATTTAATTCGAAGAGACCTTAGTAAAATTAAAACTCATCATGATCGATATAGATAAACAAACGTGTTTCTGAATTGCAATTTTTTTTATTTCTTTGTAGGCGATAACTACCATACTATGATCTCTGTTTCAGCGCTTTACTACTTATGTTACGGTTTGTTTTTGTAATCTCATATGCTGTGAAATTACGATATTTAAATAAGATAGATAGTATTACGTTTTCTGAGTTGGATGTTATCAGTGTTTTAGGCACCATCATCAGCTTTCACTTCAGATAGGAAAGAGCTTTTTCTATTATTCAACGAGGAGTAATTTATCACTTTCTGGTGGTTTAGTTTATAATTAACCATAAACAGACACTATATTTTAAGTAGAATTTATCAGTGAAATCCAGTTAAAAATTATGATCTGATCATATACAATCTGAATTACGTTTTAATCCTATTCAGTAGTAACAGTCTTTCTTAGGAAACTTTTTTCCAAATTTCGTTTCTAGGATAATTAATAATTTTTCCCAATCAAATCTCTTAATACAAAATTAAACTAGTTGGATACAGTTCAAATTAGTCTGAATGTTCTCCAATTTATCATTTCAAAAATTTAACTCAATAAATCATCTAAAGTGACGTATTTAGTCAGCTAACTAAAAAAGATGATAATAAAGACCTTATTTTAACTTCATATTCAATGTCATATTAATTACATTTTATTAACGTTGAATAATGATGTTATACCCTTTGACACCAATAATTTTGTTTATTCACAGTTAAATATTATTTTGATTAACGTGTTCTTCCAATAAGGATCTTATTTTTGGAAGAAAACCCTCAAAACTTTAGTTTCAATATTAAATTATAAATTAATCGTCAATAATTAATTAAAATGAACTGAGTGAAAACATCTACTGTTTTTGTTTACAAACCCGTTTTATATTGAATTCTGACTAAATTACTTAAGTTGAAAAGTGAAACAAGATTGTTTGTTGAACAAAACAAAAAAGGTCTCGGTTTTGAATCCCGCGAGCTGGATCGTAGATGCGCACTGCTGAGGAGTCCCACAATAAAACAAAACGGCCGTCCAATGCTTCCAGATTTTCCATGGTGGTTTAGCCTCAATTAACTCATGATCTCAACTATTGAAATTACTACAGTCTCCTCAAATCTTCTGACACAAAAAGTATGGTTGAATTTATGTGTTTGTACAGTAAATTTGATTATCTTTTCGTTAAATTTTCAAAAAGAAGTTACTTTAGATCTTAAGTTGTGTTAAATATTTCTTTTTTTCTAATGTCAGAAAACATCTAGCCACTTATTCATATATCCTATAAGTAATGCCTCGATGTTTGAGTTCTGAAGAATTAATGGAGCTTTTCAATGCGCTTGATAATAATGGAGATGGTGTTGTCAGTCGACAGGAACTGACTACATGTTTAGTAAAAGCCGGAATTTCCATGGCGAAGGTCAAAGTAAGTTAGAATAAGTATATATGTCCAATGTTCATATATCCTATATACGGAAGTAATTGCATTTGACCTTGTAAAGGATACGACTATTATTCTTTATGTAATTATAAGGTTATTTCTTTAGATGTACATTATTTAATCAAATTGAAGTCAGCTGATACAATCGAATGATAAAATCCAATTTTTCTTCTTTTTTAAATTAAACTTGAAGAACAGTTATTTTGAACAGTTTATACAGTTTTCAGAAGTGACTAGATTTGTCACTAGGTAGCATAAATTGAATCAATTTGA